TAGTGTGAGGGTACAATACCTTATAATCAAGTCTGTCATGTCAAGACTAGTTCTGAACCAAAACCTTTAGGTACTCTACAAAATAATGTCTCAGTCAATGCAATATCACTGTATATAATCAGCACCTCAGCACTGTCTTACTATAAAATTGATATTACACAAAGTATGTAATCATAGAATCCCCAGAGTGTGGAAACAGGTTATTTGGCCCAACAAGTCCACACCTCTGAAGAACATCCCACCCAGACCCATCCCCTTACCCTATCCCTATAGCCCTGCATTTCCTGTTGCTAATGCACCTAACCTACACATCCCTGAACACTATGGGCAATTAGCATGGCCAATCTACCCAACATGCACATCTTTGAACTGTTGGAGGAAATCAGAGCACCCGGCAGAAACCCACACAGTTGCCGCCTGAAGTTGGAATCGATCCCAGGTCCCTGGCGCTGTGAAGCAGCAGTGCTAACCACTGAGCCACTGTGCTGCCCCGTAACGTCATAAGTCCGGCATTATTTGGAGTCCTATTTCACTGTTTCTCAGCAGGACACTTCTATTCAAAGGACTTCTACTTTTTACTTGGTGTACCTGGAACTGAGTGGGTGAGGAGCTCACCCTCCCTTGCAGCTCAGACTGAGGAGACTGTGACCAATGGAAGCTTCTCCATATTTTTCTGCCACCAGACAAAACCTTGCTTACAGCCCACATAATGTGATTGCGATCGGATCTTCGAAATGTATAGGCCATGGCATTAGCAAATTACATGATACTAGTTCACATATTATGATACTACAATGAACTACATCACTATAAGTTGCCACTCTACATCAAAATGCAATCTTTCATTTAGCATCAAGGTGAATAAGGTTTCGTGGAGTTGGCTCATTATTCAAAATATGAACATAGTTACGAACATTCAAGATAGAAGCGAGAATAGACCATTTCACCCCTCGAGCCTGCTCTGATATTTAATAAGATCAAAGCTGATCTGTTTATAGCCTCAACTGCACACTCTCGTCTACTACGGATGACCTTTCACCTTCTTGCTTACCAGAATCTACCTTCCTCTGCCTTAAAAATACTTGAAGATTCTGCTCTCACTGCCTTTCGAGGAAGAGATACTGGTGATCGTTTGACAGAACAGCATTCTAATGCCGAATCTCTCTTTCAAATGGGCCTCCCTCTTATTTTTCAACCATAGCGAGCCGTAGTTCTAGAATGCCCCACAAGAAGAAACATCCTTCCCGCATCTACCCTGTCATGCCCTCTCAGGATTGGATATGTTTCAATCAAGTCACTTCTTACTCTTCCAAACTGTACAGATACAAAGTAGGTGTGGTGGAGGGGTAGAGTTGTGGGGTGTAGGAGCCAGTGAGGACTTGATAGGCCAAATGGCTTGCTTCCACACTGTGGGGGGCAGGGGGGAGTTGGTGGGAACTGTGATGCAGATGTGACAGTCACCATTTTGCAGGGACCCCCGTTGCCTACAGGATGGCCAAATATAGGTGTTCACCACCTGCCACTACTACCAAGGTTACCTGACATTCTCTCCGTGTGCCACGGCGCCCTGTCCCCTCCACTTCCCCCCACATCACCCCAGTGGTAGTGTCCTTGTCTCGGAGCCAGGAAGCCCAGGTTCAAGTCCCACCTGCTTCAGAAGTGTGTCAATAACATCCCTCAACAGATTGATTAAAATACTATACTGTTTTCACAGGCTGTTTATGTCACACCTTTAATAAACCATTTTTACAGATATTTCACTGAATGGAAGGAGGTAGAATTCAATGCTAAGGTAAGGAAGAGCGATTGAAAGCTTGCCTACAAAGAGGAGTGTTTGAGATTTTTTCCCAAAATAGGAAAGGAATGAGGGGTTTTGGGTTGGGACGGTGCGAGTTTGAAATAACAGGGTCTACTTCATTCAAATGTCATAATCTGAACAGACTTGTTCACAACACGTAGAATGCCTTATCTTATATTTTGCATTCAATAGATGTAAAGGCATTATGTTGCCTTTTTCAGACAATCCTACAAAATGTATACTGCACAGTGAAAATGCAGATTTTGTTAACATAATGATTCAACTCTGCTGCGACTTAATTGTGAAATTTTAAAAAATGCAATGTTTAAGATTGAGGGTTCTGCACAATACTTCAACATTTAAATAAAACTGCAATTTGATGATAGTATCTCTTGATTTTTAAGTTCTACTTTTCAGTAAACCGATTCTCCCATAGGCTAATATGACCAACTTGGCAGCTCAAGTGCTTTGACCTTAATTACTGATTAGAAATATAAAACAATACAAGTCCAGTACATTATTCTAAATGGTTTCCGGAGGTTAGTTGTAATCAGAAAAGGATGTTCTGTTTCTGCTTGTATCTCCACATAAAGTTTTGAATGCTGCCAACAAATGCTTCATATTAGTTAAGAGCCCTCCAATATTGGGCAAGATTCTTTTCCCCTCTTCTGGTCATTCAATATTGAGCCAATAACATTAAATGACTGGCAGCTGCCCGAACTTAAATACAAGAAAAATGTAATAGAAATGACTTTGCATGGACCAAAGACACAGAGAATGAATGGCTGTGTAAGGGGCCAGTATCAATATCAGAGGATGGTGAGAAATATCCTAAATTTCCCAGACACATTTGCTAGAGCAGGTTGTATTGGGACCTCAACAGGGCAGCATACAGGTGAACAGTGACAGTTCTTGTGGTGCAGTGGTAGTGCCCCTAACTGTAGGCCAGAACGCTCCGTTCATGTCCCACCTGTTCCAGGTGGGAGTCATAACATGTCAGAACAGGCCGATTAAAACCAATAACTACAGGAGAACTCAGATGAGGTTTCACACCGAGGTGCTGGGTCCAACTCCTGTCACTGTCAGGGGGCTTGCAGAATTCTAATTCCAAGTTGGCTCACGACATAGCACAGAGCTTGCCTTTCCCCAGTGTCTTTGCTACATGTCATGCTTAACCCTAACCCTAACCCTATCACACACTGGCCCTAAACCCCACCTCTTCCTCCGTTACATTGATGACTGTATCGGCGCCGCCTCATGCTCTCACGAGGAGCTCGAACAGTTCATCCACTTCACCAACACCTTCCACCCCAACCTTAAGTTCACCTGGACCATCTCCGATGCCTCTCTCTACTTCCTGGACCTCTCTGTCTCCATCTCCGGCAACCACCCAGAAATCGATATCCATTTCAAGCCCACCGACTCCCACAGCTACCTAGAATACACTCCCTCCCACCCACCTTCCTCCAAAAATGCCATCCCCTATTCCCAATTCCTTCACCTCTGCCGCATCTGCTCCCAGGATGAAGCATTCCACTCCCGAACATCTCAGATGTTTTTTCAAGGACCGCAACATCCCCCTGTCAGTGGTCGAGAACGCCCTAGACCCCGTCTCCCGCAACTCATCCCTCACACCCCCTCCCCGCAATAACAACCAAAACACAATCCCCCTCGTCCTCATGCACCACCCCACCAACCTCCGGATCCAACGCATTGTCCTCCGATACTTCCGCCACTTGCAATCCGATCCCACCACCAAAGACGTTTTTCCCTCCCCACCCTTATCTGCTTTCCGGAGGGACCACTCTCTCCGGGACTCCCTTGTCCGCTCCACACTCCCCTCCAGCCCCACCACACCCGGCACTTTTCCCTGCAACCGCAGTAAGTGCTACACCTGCCCCTACACCTCCCCCCTCACCCCCATCCCAGGCCCCAAGAAGACCTTCCACATCGAGCATATATTCACCTGCACATCTGCTAATGTGGTATACTATATCCGCTGTTCCCATTGTGGCCTTCTGTACATCAGGGAAACCAAGCGGAGGCTTGGGGACTGCTTTGTGGAACACCTACGCTCGGTTTGCATTAAACAACTGCACCTCCCAGTCGTGAACCATTTCAACTCCCCCTCCCATTCCTCAGACGACATGTCCATCCTGGGCCTCCTGCAGTGCCACAACAATGCCACCCGAAGGTTGCAGGAACAGCACCTCATATTCCGCTTGGGAACCCTGCAGCCCAATGGTATCAATGTGGACTTCACAAGCTTCAAAATCTCCCCTCCCCTACCACATCCCAAAACCAGCCCGGCTTGTCCCCGCCTCCCTAACCTGTTCTTCCTCCCACCTATCCCCTCCTCCCACCTCAAGCCCCACCCCCATTTCCTACCTACTCGCCTCATCCCGCCCCCTTGACCTGTCCGTCCTCTCTGGACTGACTTATCTCCTCCCTAACTCCCCACCTACACTCACTTTTACTGGCTCCATCCCCGCCTCTTTGACCTGTCTGTTTCCTCTCCACCTATCTTCTCCTCTATCCATCTTTATTCCACCTCCCCCTCTCTTCCTATTTATTTCAGAACCCCCTTCACCTCCCCCATTTCTGAAGAAGGGTCTAGGCCCAAAACATCAGCTTTCCTGCTCCTCTGATGCTGCTTGGCCTGCTGTGTTCATCCAGCTCTACACCTTGTTATCTCAGATTCTCCAGCATCTGCAGTTCCTACTATCACTGTAGACTGAAACTAACTTTTACTCTTTGGGCGACTACAACCCAGACATTACGGAGCCTATACACATACCAAGACATTCAACTTCAATCAATATTTATGCACGGAGATACTGGGCATTCCATTTAATCACAATACGTTCACACCTCTTCTTAACTACCAGGAAGACAACTGCCTGAAAGGGAACACCCGTAATACAATGGCAGAGTTGGCATGAAGATGAGAGGCCTGCAATAATTGCGGGCCCCAACCTCACCAGAGAGTCTGATTCACCCAGGAGCTATCTCCACAGCCACCACCAGGGAAAGGATCCGAAAGAGCTACCGCTGCAAGAGCAATCCCCACAGTCATCTCCAGAACAGGGATCTCAAACAGCTTTCTCCCTAAGAGCTATCTGCACAGCCATTTCCGGAAGGGGGATCCCGACGGTAATCCTGAAACCCACCAACACAGGTCTGTTCCGTACCAGGTCAACCAATGGCGACCGACCCCGACCAGCAGATCGGACAACCGACAACCTCCGAAATCACCAACCCGACCCAACACTACAAGGCTTCAGACACATCCGGAGGTGAAAACCAGCTCACAAAAAACCACCACAAAGTAAGGAAAAGCAAGTACTCGCCTGATAAACCCAACATGCATCCTACCACATCTACCCAGACTGAAAGCCTACATTGTGCAAAGTCTTCATCAAAGCACTGGCTACGGCAAGCGGGAACGGCCAGCTGTACTTCAAAATTGCGTTTATCCCCAGTGGTGAGCTTAAACTCCTGAGCCCCCATAGTATCCAACCTAGCTAGCAGGGAGGAAAGGTAGGTGGTTCCAGTGCAGGGAACCCCAAGGTTACGAAGCCTGATAAAAGTTTCTGTGATTAAAACCCTCTTATTTAGTTCGAATAGTGTTTAACCTGTATTTGATTTAATAGTGTTTAGTTACTGTCCTCTATATAATTGATTATGTCAATTCCACTGTTTGTTGTATTTGCCTTTATTTAATGTAATTTACTTATCTTTTGTATTTAATAAATGCAGAGACTCTTTTGCCCCTGAAACACCCGTCTACAGCCTTCTTCATTTCACATTCCTTAAATAAGTCCAGTGTCAGAACCAGGGATCTCGGGGTGATTCGAATCACCTAATAATCAGAAAATTACTGATTGCAAACCAGAACCCCTACAAGCTGGATTCAAGTTTCACCATCTGCTATGGTAAGATTTGAACCCTTGTCTGTCAACACATTAACTTGGATTTCTGGATCATTAATTCACTGACATTATCACTATGCCACTATTTTTTGCAGCCTTTGTGCACAGATCACCAAATCCTTTGCATCCCCCTGTGAAGATGTAGTGACATTCCCTGCCAACTTGATCATTTTTTAAAAATTCATTTTGTGGGATGTGAGCGTCGTTGGCTGACCAGCATTTCTTGCCTGTCCCTAGGTGCCCTTAAGAAGGTGGTGGTGAGCTGCCTTCTTGAACCACTGCAGTCCTCCTGCTGTGGGTCGACCCACAATGCCATTAGTGAGGAAATTTCTGGGATTTTGTTCATTACACCCACAATTCATCACTACAGCCTCAAACACAATCAAGCAGAGTACTTCTAGAGCTGTGGTTTCAAACACACAGATTAGTCCGATCACAGCGTCTCTAACAGTCAATCTCACTGCCCACCTGCTGCATTACATCTGCTTCCCGAAGCCTCGCAGCTAAAGAAACATACATCCATCTAACAGTCTTTGCCAACCTGTTGCATCAAGTTTCAGTTTTGTTCAGATGGAACATCATTTCAGGGTAATGTAAGTTTTGTGGTGGCAATGCAAACAAATTAATCAGAAATATACTACAGCCACTAACTTTACTCCAAAAGAAGACCTTCACATGCTTTTGCCCCTGAAAGAGAGAACAAGGGCAGAAGATATCTGCAGCAAATTCAAACGGTGTGCACTTAAGAAAAACATCCCAATAGAGAAGTTAGTTTCCATCACAATTAATGATGCACCAGCCATGCCTGACATAAACACTGGTTTCACAGCATTTTGCAGAAATGATCCTTAGTTCCCCTTTTTTGTCGATTATCACTGTATAACTCACCAGCAAGAATTAGTGAGTAATGTTATGGACTTTTCTTATGTAATGAAAGTTGTCGTTAAGGTTGTAAACTTGACTTGAGCAAGAGCCCTTCAGCACAACTTTGTTTAAATCCTTACTCAATTAACTTGATGCTGCCTGTGGTGAACTAATCCTTCATGTTGATGTGAGATGGTTAGATCGAACAAAGATTCTGCAATGTCTTTTAGATCTAAAGCATGAAATCATCACTTGCAGTGAGTTCTCAGACAATGCATGGTTTACTTGACTTTGGGTTCGTTACAGATATAATGTCAAAACTGAAAATGCTGAATCTTGAACTGCAGGGAAGCGACAGAGACCTAGAACATAGGATCAGTGATGTGAATGCATTTACATTGAAACTGGATCTGTGGTCCTCCTAATTAAAAACTAAAATGCTGCAATACTTCCCAACTGGAGAAAACATGAGAAAAAAATTAAAGACAAAGAAAAATGGTTGTGGAAAACCTCTGTGCATATCTCAGAAAGTTAGCTGAGGAATTCAACAGGAAGAGAATTAGATGTGAGGAACAAATGGTCACGGGTCTCTCAAATCTATTCCTTCAAGTAAACATTGGTGGCTTGACTACTAAATTCATCAGGTGTTTTATTTACAAAGCAGTGGAGTTGACACAGAGGTAATTAATATGCAAAATGATCTTGAACGGAAAGTCAAATCAAGGGACAGTAATTTTGGAGCACTCATAAATAGAGAAAAATAACCACTCCTATTATCCTGCGCTTTTAAAGTGCAAGCTTACTTTGATCCCATATCCCTCTGTGAGATAGAATCCTTCCAAAAGATAATGAAGTCCAAATATCACATCTGCCTCACAGACACCCATCTGATGGACTGTGTATGAGTAGCAGTCTCAAACTACAACTTAAGAGTTCAAAGCACGGGCACATAACGTGCTGTCGTAGGTGACTTGATGAGTAGGAGACATAATGCATAATTAGTTTTGCTTGGTTTTAGATTGATATAGCACTAAGTATGTAATTATCAGCCACGACATTCAATGGTAATCCCACCACTGAATCTTCCACCATCAACTGCCTAGATGTTAGCATTGACCATAAATTGAACTGGATTGGCCACATAAGTGCTGTGGCTACAAGTTCCAGTCAGAAGCTAGGGATACAGGAGTAGCTCATCTGCTGACTCCCCAAAGTTGTCCATCATTGACAAGAAACAAGTCAGGATTGTGATGGAATACTCCCCACTTAGCTGGATGAGTTCAGTTCCAACAATATTCAAGAAACTTGACACCATCTGGGACAAAGCAGCCTACTTGATTGGCACTATTACCACAAACATTCACTCCCTCCACCACTGATGCACTGTAGCAACAGTACATGCCATCTACAAGATGCAGTGCAGAAATTCACCAAGGTTCCCATGACAGCATCTCCGAAATCCATGACCACTTCCACCTAGAAGGACAGGGCAGCAGTTACACGGGAACATCGCCACCGGCAAGTTTCCCCTCGAAAGCCACTCGTGATCCTGACTCAAATATATTGTCTTTCCCGCAATGTCGCTGAATCAAAATCCTGGAATGCCCTCCCTAATAGCATTGTGGGTCTACCTACAGTGTATGGACTGTGGAAGTTCAAGAAGACTGCTCACCGCCACCACAAGGGGTAACTAGGGACGTGCAATAACTGCTGGCACAGCCAGCAATGCCACATCCCACAAGTGAATTAAGAAAACTAAAAATAGACTATTTTGTATTTTCTTCAGAGCAGATCCTGGCTTGCACTTAAATTCAAAATGGTTGGAGACCACCTTTCTAGAGACTTTGCAATAGAAAATGTTAGGGTAAGCCACCTTTGGTATAACTTGCATTCTGCAAATGAATCTACAAGCTTAAAGTTTGTAAATTGTCTATCAAATCAGTAAGTTATGGCTGGTATCAAGATCTGGTCAATTCCAAGGCTTGATAGGGTGACAGCTCTTTCTGTGCTGGGCTAGTGGGAGGTGACAGATGCCAAGTGCCCACGGACAGCAGCTCTGATCTATGCAATACTCCTTCCAGCTGGCACTACCAATCTAAATTTCATACCTCACAACTCCAGTGTGCTTAGCTGGAGCAAAATATAAATTGAATACATGTTCAAAGGTTTTAATGTATAAAAACACATCAATCAGTCGCAACTCCTTATGATAAGTCACATGCAATTCTTACTGATATTACTTGAAAGGGCTTCGAATTATTTTTTCGGTCATATCTTAGTCAACCATTATGAAATCTGACTATCAGGTCTCACATACTGCAGGTAAGGACTGAAAGCTTCTTCCGAGGCAGATGCTGAAGAACACACACTCAATATCGATAATTATCTAATCCAGAAACAAAACATAACATCATACAATTTACTGCACCTGTCGATACTCATCAGTCACAACACATTCAGAATTTTATGAGGGTCCACTGTTGTGTAAACAATCGTTCAATCAAATTGACATATTTCAAGGTTTTATCCTTCTTCAAACTACTGTTTTTAAGCCGAGTTCATACATATCCTCCCTACGTTCTTCTGCAATCAAACAGTACATTTCTCACACTACAGATCATTCACCATTTAATTAAATGAAGAAAAGGAAAAGACTTCCATTTATATTGTGACTTTAAGATGTCCAAAAGCATTTCACCAAACCTGGAAGTATAGTCACTATTATAATGTAGGGAAACACAGAAGCACAGGACACTTCCACAGATAATCTGCTTTTTATAAAATGACAATGGTTTGTATAGTAAATTTTGACCAAGGTACTAGTAGAACGAGCCTGTTTATCTTCACATATTACCATGGGATTTTTCTGTCCACCCAAAAGGGCCACTGGTTTAATATCTCATCTGAAAGATGGTACCTGGGACAATGTGGCACTCTATCTCAATGGATTATGTCCTTCAGTGCCCCTTGAGATCACAGCCATTCAGGGCTGAGTCAGGGTTGAGACTGCAGTCCACCAAGCCAAGGCCAATCTTGTATATCACACAAAAAAAAATCCACAAAAGCTACACATGAACAACATAGAAACTTACAGAAATTTATCTTGTTTTCAAACATACTCACACAGCAGGAAGGGGGTTGGTTGGATGGGATGATTTCCCAATAAGTACATTGTATGGCTATTCAATACCCTCCACTTGTTGCAGTTCAATCCATAAAGGTAGTTGTTTGGAATTTTCAAAAATTATCCATCAAAATCTTTTAGTTTTCTGCCAGCATCAGCATTAAATGATGTTCCGTTGATCTTTGGTTGTTTTTGTTGTGTTGGGCGGAGATCCATAAATTCTGCATTCTTGGGTTTTGTTGTTTGGCTTTCACTCTGGAAATTTAGTTGGCATATCTAATCAGATGATAAGATTACAAGGGCTCCATATCACACCCTCAACGACAGCTTATGCCTGATTTAGTTCTGACTGTCAGGCATTACTTATGTTTCCTATTCTCTTATTCCACTTTAACTTATTCCAATCTT